CAAAGGCAGCCTGAGGGAGAATTTGGACTTGGAAGTCAGCACCAATGCTTTTGGCATGTCTAGTCTCCAGCAGAAAGGCTGGGAACAGGGACATTGATGAGATCTGACACCTCTGCCTTCCCTGGATGCAGAAAGGCAGGATGTTTTAATTCTGAAGATGCAAATGAGGACTGAGAAGCAAAGGGGGAACAATGGCCATTCCCCAGGGTGCTTTCTTTACCAAGATGAGTGGCACTGGGGTCACTCCCCACCACAGCCTTGAAGAAATGAGACCCTGGAAAGGGAAGGAGTAGGCAAACTCCTCCTAAACTTCTTGGATAAGAAGAAAGCAAGCTACTGAAAAATCTACCATAGAGGCATCATTTTAAACACAGATAAACACATGCTAATACATCTAGAAAGCTCTCTGTTATCCTAAAGTGGGCCACACTGATGGATGCAGAGTAGTGTTAGTTAACCTTCATGGGCTCAGTTTCCTCCTTTGTAAAATGGGATTAACAAGAGAACCTCCCTTGCAGAGCTGCTGAGAGCATAGAATGAGATCACAGAAGCAGGGAATGCGTGATACCAAACTTAGAGCTCTGTGGCTATTGGTGTGTTCACGCTATTTATGTGTTTTACAACAGATCACCAAGTATCTGCAGTGTGAATATTCAATGTGTCAACTTGTATGTAAATGAACAGTGGGGAAGTACTGGACGTGTAACCCCAAACGTGAGTGAGGGTGAGCTCTGGCTGGTCACTGTGATTTGTAACTTATGTTGACAGGTCTCTGGATTCGGTATCTTTTAATATTATAGACTACAGAATACTATAAGAAAGTTTTTAAGTATTTGCAATAGGAACCTAGGAAAAGAGGAAAGCAGTAAGAAAGGCATAGAAATGTGTAACTCATAAATGCTTACAAGGGAAGAAGCTTCTAGAAGGATATAAAAGGAAGACCAGGACACAAATAATGTGTGCTTCATCATTTCAGCTGTGTAAAATAATGCACAGAAAAAAAGAGTTATTTTTTTAAAAATATCAGCCAAACTACGAACAGTGATCAGATGCTGTGGCTGTGGTTCGGCATCCTTTTCTTAATATAGTTTTATTCTTCCCAAATTGCCTATAAGGGGCCTAAATTGCTTCTACAATCAGAAAACATGCACAACTGATAATATTAACAAGAAGAATGAGGCATAAGAATCTGTTCTTACTTGCTTGATGGAAACCAGCAGAAGCAGGGCGATGAAGGGCCTCCCAGGACCCCAGAGCAGACACATCCTGTGGGAGTGGAGAGGATCCGGTTCTTGGGCCGCAGGGATGCCCGCTGGCTGTGCCCGTGCCCGAGGCAGGGGCGCCTCTCTGCATCTACTGGGCACTGCCGGGCTTGGTTGGGGCCTCATCCTCCTGGCGCCCTTTCACAAGTGCAGGCACATCCTTCCAACACTCCAAGATGTACTGCAGGCGGTGGCCTCCTGCATTCCTCCTTGTCCAGAGAGGAAGTGTTTGCACAAGTCCTCTGCAGGCCGCCGACTGTCTGAGCTGCTCTACAGCCATCTACCGAATCTCCAAGTTTCTCATCCCCCGCTTGCCCCTCCTAAAATCTAGGGAGATTTTTCCCAGACCTACCCCCAAGACGTCTATGCTGCCTGGGACTTCCTCAGCGGGCCCAGAAGAAAAAGCAAGGCATGGTTTCCATTCTGAGGATTCTACTGAACACACACGGCCAGTTTGAGGTTCGGATAGCTGGAAAGGATTGGGCTCGGATGCCAGGTAGGCATCTTTTAAGCCAGGATTCTTTCTAAGGCATCAAACTTTTCTAAACCACACCAGGGCAGGGCTACCTCTGAGCTCCGAGGTTATTACTATGCCACAGTAACAAGAGCAGTTTGCCCGTCTCAGAGACAGCACCACCAGACCCAAGGTCTGCAGCAAAAGCCTGTTCAGTGACGAGAGTTACGTCCACACGATAACAAAACAATGGGTAGGAAGCGCAGAGGTTGGTGCCTCTTGATTGTCCACGTGTTCTGAGTGGGCTATTGTGTTCTGAACACAGTGTTACTCTGACCACCTGACCGATACTTTTATGGTATTCATGGCTACTCGTTAACCAACACTCCACCTCCCTACCTCAGTTTATGGTTACAAAACCTTCCACCCTCTGCTCTATTTTACTTGAACTCACAAGTATCCTCCCAAGGTACCATTACATCTTCACCTGAGGATTGAAAAATAGTGGAGTTCAGAGAGGCCAAGTTGTTTGTTCAAGGCTGCACAGCAAATAAAGGACAAAGCCAGACCTTCTAGCCAAGTCACCTGACCACAACTACCTGGTCAGAAACTATTCGTTAGTACTCGGAGTCGGAGTCGCAAAGCAAGCTCCTGTTTCATCTCTGTCTCTAAGGCTCTGCGTGGACCCCCTCACTCCTCCTCTCCCTGCCTGGCTCCCAGCTTTCTATCCAGTCTTTCCATTGGAGGTCCAAGTGGAAGGTGAGAGAAAAAATGTCAGAACAGAAAGCAAGAGGAACGAAAGGCAGTTTTCTCTTCCTCTCTCCCTCCCTCTCTCCCTCCCTTCTTTCTTCTTCTACTTCCCTTTTTTTCCTTTCACGTTTAAGTCAAACCATAGCTCATTTCCATTCATTGGCCAAGCCCAGTGAGTTCTGACCATTCACGGGAAACCAGGTGAGCACCACTAGATACAAATCCCTAAAAATCTTAAAACCCTCAAGTGGCAAGAATTCAAACCTTAATGGTAAAAAGATGAATCTGGAAAGGGCTCCCAGACAGGCTTTTATGCTGGTGTGATTTCTACAGTCAATGTGGTCATCTCTTTGGGACCACAGAGAATGGGATGAAGTGGGAGTGGGGGCGGGAGGGAGGGAGGGAGGGAGGGAGGGAGGGAAGAAAGAAAACCCGTGTGTGTGTGTGTGTGTGTGTGTGTGTGTGTGTGTGTGTGTGTGTTGAATGTGGCTGTGAAGCTATTCTGTCCACATCAAAGGGGAGCTTCCTAGGTTGCACGCTGCGGGAGAAAACACCTGCTTTGTACGAATATTCCATCTTGCTTCTTGGAATGTTTCTCAAAAATATTTTTCCTGATTTTTTTTCCCCCTGAAAGGACAAGGCTTGGTTGGTTTGCATACAGCTTTGCTACCTGCTACCTGTTGGACGGATGCCATCTAGTGTCAAAATGCGGTAAATCCGTCTGTGAGAGCCGCATGTGGTTTCTAAGGCTACCAGGAGCACAGACCACAGGTCCTCCAGCCTCACCAGCAGGGAAGAACAGATGGAGAGAGACAAACACAAATGTCACTGCACGCTTACATCTGGCCACCTCCGGGGCTGCTCGACACTTAATGAGGAGCCCGTGCTCATCTGAGGCCACATAGACTCTTTCCTTTCTCCATTCCTTCCTGGCTTCAGGCTTATTGAATTTCTTATGTAAATTTTGACTTTTCCTGGAGTTTCTAATTGCCTTTTCTTTCCCCATCCTAAAAACAGTTTAGTTTTTGGTTTATTCCTGGACACCTAAGTAAAAAGATGAATTTCTTGGGAGGCTCCACACTCCTTCCCAACCATACTCTAAGCTTGGTTACCAGGAGGTGGAGTCTAGCCTTACCCTAACTTAAGGATTTTCAACATTGCTGTTCCTGCAAGGATCCATTCAGTGAGGATGTGGGTGATGGTCCAAGGGCTTTGAGTCTCCTAGATGGTGCTAATTTCTACAGCTAATTGGGCACATGTCCCTTCCCACTCTGTGCAATACATAGGCTTTGAAGTAAAGCGCCTGTGTCTTGCTTCTCTCAAGTCTCTGGGCTAAGCACCTGTTTGTCCTCTGCAATCTCTCTTTTCTAGTGCGGGGCAAGAAACAGACCCAGAAACTCCGACAAGTTTCCATGTTTCTTGTATGTTCACTCTCATATGCAGATCCTAACTTCTAACGTTTACGTATGCAGATAAAGGTTTGAGAGTGCACGTGGACTACCCAACTGGATGGGAGACGATGAGAGGGTGCAAGGGGCATTAGGAGAGCAGAGGGAGAGTAAAGAAGATCACGTGTGTCAAAAAGGGGTATCTGGGGATGGGAGGGCAGAAGGAGGGTGGATGGGAAAGAAGGTAGAAAGAGAAACAACAAAGCACATTACATTTAAAAATACCATTATGAAACCTAGCTATTTGTAAGATAATATTTTCTTAGAAAGAGAGTTTCTCATGCTTCTGGAATCTAGTACCAAGAGACCACCTTAACTCCAAAAGAGCGAGTGGAGTGGGCATCAAGTCACCCACCCAGATAGTCTTGACCTTCACTCAAAACCAACATCCTCTACAATTGTCAAAGGAAACGACCCTGGGCATTAAGAGAGAAGCAGAGAAGCAAAGTGCTATAATAAATACAGGGATACTATTCCACCTTGCAAAGAGTGAAGAGTTTTGGCATATACTAAAGCACAGTGAGGCTTGAGGACATCTGTACAATGGGAAATAAAGCAGACACGTAAAGACAAATACTGCATTGTTGCATTTCTAGGAGGATTCTTGTAGAATTCCAAGGCAATAAGGACAGTGGAGACTTCCAGGACCTGGGAGGAAAGAGAATGGAGAGTTGTTTAATGGTAACAAAGCTTTGATTTTGCAAGCTGGAAGGAGTTTTGGAGATGGAGGTGAACGTTTCCAAGCAACGTGACCATGCGTACTGCCACTGAACTATACACTTGATGGTTAAGGCAGTAAATTTTATGTTATCTTTTACCACTGGTTTCTAAAATGGACCAATGTCCCCTACATGTACTCATCCTAGGGTGGATGGAAAGGCCCACTCTGAACCTCTTCCTAGGAGAATAGCTCTGGCCATGGTACTTACACAGATGTTATATGCTGGAATATACACAGGTTCCCCCCAGGGGACCAGGAAGAAGCTGTGTCAGGATGCCAGATGGCAGGGCTGGGGGATGGAGACCAGGTTACAGTAGAGAGGAGGGGGCCCTCGCTCACACTGGCACTGGGAGGTTCATTCTGCCATGGACAGGGCAAGGTGGCAGCGGATACTGACCCTCCTCCCCATCTGCCTGGCCCTCGCCTTCTCCCTCACAGCCATGGGCAGCAGCCACTGGTGCGAAGGGATCCGACGAACGACGAAACCTCTATGCCAAGATCTCCTCGGGGGCTTGAACTGCATTCACTTCAGCCGGGCCAGCAGCAGCACGGGCAGAAGGCATGATAACAGCCAAGCCGTTCAGTACATCTGGGAAACAGGAGATGACAAGTTTATCCAGCGCAGGTTCCACGCAGGGCTTTGGCAGTCCTGTGAGGAAAGCCTCAACAGCACAGGTGAGTGCAGTCTGTGTGTCCCCAGGCCAACAGGAACAGGACGGTCCTGAGAAGGGGCTCCAAGTCAGACTGCCTGGGTCTGAATCTTGAGTCTTGATAGTCATAGACTATCTATGTAAGCTTAAGCAAGACCTTTACCTCTAAGTCTCAATTTTCTCATCTATAAAATGGGAACCATGGAGGTGCTTATGGTGGACATGCCTGGCACACTATTAAACACAAGTGTTCACCCACTTGCCACTTGTCTCTCAAGTCCTCAAGAGTCAAAGTTGGCCACTACCCTCCTCTAAGCTGCATCCCCAAGATTCCTTTCTCACTTTAAAAGGTGTTGTTGTTGTTGCTGCTGCTGCTGCTGCTGTTGCTGTTACTTGGGACAGGGTCTAACTTTGCAACCTTGGCTGGCCTGAAATGTAGATTAGGCTAACCTCAAGCTCACAAAAATAAATCTGCCCTCCTATGCTGGGATTAAAGTTGTGTGCCTCCCACCCACCATGCCCAGCTTTAATTTTTTTAATGTGTGTGTATCCCTTAATTTTTTAAAGGAAGTGAGTGTGTGTGTGTGTCTCTCTCTGTGTATGTGTATGTATGTGTGTGTATGCTCAGAGACCAGAAGAAGGCATCAGATCCCCAGCATATAGACTTACAGGACATTGTGAGACACCTGACTTGTTCTGGAAACCAAAGCCAACACCTCTGCAAGAGCAAGAAACTCTCCTCTACGCTGAGCCATTGCCCCAGTCCCTCCAATGCTGAGTCTCTCTTGCTCTTTTAATGCCTCTTGAAACAGAAGATTCTATTTCAAACAAAAAACAAAGCAAACATCCCCCACAGCTCTTAGCAACATAAGATCACCTCCAGATCTATCACGATCATAGCCCATAGCAAGTTAGACCTTTATCTAGTCTGTCCTTGAAACTGCCCTGCACAGGACTAAAGCTGAGTCCCTCCCTCAAGTCCCTCCCTCCTGAAGCAGGACACTAGGGCTCAGAGAATTTGCAGTGATAAGCCTTGTCTTGGGTCAGTCAGCCCCAATTCATTAACACCTTCCAGAGTTTGTTGATAAAGAGGGGGGCTTATAAAGGTGAGGGAAGAAGAAAGAGAAGATTGGGGGGGTAGTACACAGAGCAGAGTTACCTTACAAAGAAGACAGAGGAATGTCAACCATGCTGTTAGACAGGCTGTCTGAGCCCTATGCTCAGGACTGGCTGAGCTCCTCTGTTTTCACAGCAAAGGCCCCAACGTGAAAAGGGGGGGGGACATCCCTGGCAATCCCTACTTATATCCTTGAACTTACACTTCTCATTCAGATGTTTACTTTACCACCCTTGTGGCATTTGAAAAAAAGGTTTTTTTGTAGCCTAAGTAGACTACAATAAAGAACAATACTCTGATATATAGTATAACTACCTCTAACCCCACCCAAGCAGGCGACTGAGGGACAAACACATGCCCCACCTTAGCCTTTGCTCCAAGTGTGATTCAGACACATCACTAATGCTAGGAAAGACAACCAAAGGGACCTCCCAAATTCTCTTTTCTCTGGAGTACTAGTGTGTAAAATACACTCTCTTGACACCACCAGCACCTTCCACCTACCCACACACAGTTACATTTGGTTTCTGATCCTGCTTCTTCTAGGATTGCCAAGATAGTCCCATATTTTCTGTTTGAGAACTGTAGGCACCATGTTCATAAGCAAATGACTTAAAACTTCTGTTTCCAAATCTGTTCCCCCCACATCTGAGGTGGCTTCATCTATTTCCACATCTGTGTATAGTGGCAGGGATTGGAATCACCCTGGAAGCTTGTAAGCCTCTGGGCACCCAGCCCCAGAGGCTCTAACGCAGTAGATGTGGGCTGGAGTCTAGAAACCTGCTCTTTGTTTATTTGGTTGGTTGGTTGGTTGGTTGGTTGGTTGGTTGGATGGTTGGTTGGTTGGAATTTTTTGTTATTGTTGTTTTGCTTTGCAGTTTAGCTAAGGTAATCTTTACATAGAGATAATAAGAATCACACATTTTGAAAGACTTATAAGTAAAACCACCATTCTCTATCCCTTCCTTCAGGGGAAGCTGTTTCAATATGAAGGACAAACATGGATGTCTTCATTTTAGACATTAGCTATTGACTTAGTATTACAATAAATAAAATGTATCGCTTCGTGAGGATACCCCACATAATGCCTGCCATCTTCTTGGTCAAGTAATATCACTGCTGTATTCAATAAGCCACTAACTTTGACTAGATGTTGCTCATTCTGGCAACAGAAAGGGTGTTCTCATTATATTTATTGTTTGTGCAGATTTTTGCTCTCCCTGGAGTTCTAATTGCTCTTTCTGTTCCCATCCTCAGAGCATTAGCATTTCTTTTGCACTCAACTCTGTTCTCTCTTGAGTATCTATCTGTGTTTCTAATTTCCTTCCCTAGTGATTATGGCACACATCACAGCTAGAGAAACACACCCCAGGACACAGAAAAGCCCTCTGGATAGAAGAGAGTTGGAATATCATGGAGAATATTCACTAATAAACATTTCCATGCTTGACATGAGGCTAGGGGAATGGGGCTTTAACAGAGAGGGGACCACAGTGCTGAGAGCTAAAAGCCACTGGGAAATATCTACTTTAAAGGTAAAATAAGAAAGGGTGTGGTGATGGTTAAGACAGAGGCTCATCAATCCATGTTAGTGGACGAAGGAGATGCTACTTAGGTCTAAAGTCTTCATAAAGCAGGTGGCCATTGTACCAAGCCACCACTTGTGCCTTAGATTTAAATGTGTGCGTGTTTGTATGTGCATGTTAAAGGGGGCTATGTGTATGTGCAGATATGTAGAGATCAGAGGACCACCTCAGGCATCATCCTTGAGAACGACACCTGCTTTAAGTCAGAGTCTCTCATTGGCCCTGATCTCACTAATTAGAGCAAGAATGGCTGGCCAGCAACCCACCCCAGGATTCTCCAATCTCCACTCCCCCACCATTGGGATTGCAAGCTAACACCACCATGCCCAGCATTTTAACTTGGGTTCTGAGGATCGAACTCGGCTTTCGAGGCAATCAGTTTATCAGCTGAGTGGTCCTCCCCCATCCCCGTATCTGGGATTTTAATAGATGGAGCTCAGGAGTCAGGTGTTCCAGGCAGACAGAAATGAATTGACCTGGTCTGAGGCGGCCAAAACAGGCTTTGCCACTAGAACACAGGACAAGGAGTAGGAGGAAGCCTCAGTGAGGATCAGAGCTCACATGGCCTTTTCATGTCGCTGGGGCAGCTGCTCCTCCCTTGTCAGTGGGGAAGTCTAACTGGGGAAACTTGGCCATTGCACTGGCATTGACATGCTATTTGTGATGTCTGAAGGAGGAGGGCTTGCAATGGCAGCTGAGCTTGAGAATAGCATTAGAAAATTAGAAATGTGAGTTGTTTTCTCTGTGAGAATAAACTGCCTCAGCTGGACTTAAGGAAAGGGAAGAATTGGACTTTAAGGAGGCCCAGAAGCAGGTATTAGCTGGCCATCTGTATGAGGCATGTGTCCCTTAGTCATAGCAACATGAGCCTGGTACCTGCTACAAATTGTCCCTAAGACTTCCTGTAAGTCGTTAGTCAGCTTATGTGCATGTGGAGGGGAGGTCTCCATCCTACAACAGGATCTGGGGGCAACATTAAGGGGCTGTGTGAAGCTCTTTTGGACTCCTTCCTCCAGCACAGTGCTCTCAGCCTTCCCAATGCCACGACCCTTTAATACAGTTCATCATGTTGTGCTGACCCCAACCATAAAACTATCTTCGCTGCCAACCCATAACTGTAATTTTGCTACTGCTATGAATCATAATGTAAATACTTTTGGAGACAGAGGTTCGCCAAAGGTTGAGAACCACTTTAGAGGCTTATAGGAAGCCCCCTTGACATTCCCGTCAACCCAGGAAATACACACACACACACACACACACACACACACACATACACACACACCACTTCCACTTCGATGGTACTAGAGATGCCTCGGTGGTTGAAAAGCACTGGCTGCTCTTCTGGAGGTCCTGAGTTCAATTCCCTGCAACTTCATGATGGTTCACAACCATCTGTCTGCTAGATGTGATGCCTTCTTCACGTAGGTGTACACGCAGACAGAGAACTCATACATTTAAAATACTAATCATAATAAATAGAAGTTACAGATGCAAAGAGCTCACAGGAGGTGGTAACAGACATGGATGACGTTGGGATTGCCAGTGACCTTGAACTTCATGCCTTGGCCAAGGGGTCATCACTTTGAGTTCAATTCAGCATTGAGGTCAGGTCCTCTTGGGAGTTCAATACAGACAGATCCTTTGCTTCTGCAAAGGGAGAGATTTGGATTTTTCAATCTCCCAGTTGAAAACTCTGTTTAGAGCTTTACAGAGCCCCGCCCCCAAGGCATGTTTTCGATAAGGTACAGAATATAACTCTGAATCGCTGACTGCATCACAAGCACCCAGGACTCGAGACGGGAAAAAGGAAGGGTCAGAGCAGTACAGAGGGGGTTAAGGGGGTTGACTGGGCTCAATGTCACTGGCAATAAGGACTGTGGTCTCAGGGAAAATATTCCTAACCAAGTGTAGGATTTTGGGGGGTGAGGGGTCAGCACCCCAGTGCTGTGGCATGGGACCTGACTGAGAAAAGGTTCCCTATCTAAATCAGCTCATCTTCCTGCAAGTGGGCCCTGCAGTGCTTTAAGGGGGAGACTGCATCTCTTTTTTCATATTCTGAAATAAACATTTTCAGTGAAAGCTCCTGGAAGAGTCAAAGCTCTTGTCTTCTTTTCCATGGGCAAATCTCTGAATCAATGATATGCACTTGAGTAAACCCTGAGCTGTTGTGCTGAACTCAGAGCATTCAGAGAGGGGCACATGGGTAGCCCTGAGGCCTTGATTCTGGGGCAGGATTCTGGGGCAGAGTCAAGCACCCTGGGCTTGTATGCATTCTCCCATGGCTGGCTTGATGCGCCTCTTGGCCGCCCAAGCCCTGCCAAGCTATTTAGCACCCGCCTCTCTGGCTTCATGGGATTTGTAAAGATTTTTCTTCTTAATCCTGCTGGCTTTGTTCAGAAGGAACACCGTTTCTGAGGATTCACATTAATCAAGGGGTCACTCAGGTCTAGCTCTCTGGTCCCAGCTAATCTTGTCCTTCTAAGCTATTGGGAATTCTCTTAATCTGTGCAGCTGGCCTTTTGGTGCTCTGTGGCCTGTCCCTGGTCTGCTCATGGATTCTGCTGCCCCTATCCTGCTCTTGGCTCCTTCTATACCTGCCCCTGCCCTTGCCCCTGCCCCTGCCCCTGCTCCCAGCCCCCCCCCGCTCCCCGCCCCCCCGATCCCCCGTCCCTGCCCCTGCCCCCCGCCCCTGCCCCATCCCTGCCCATATCCTACCCCTGGCTTCTCCTGCATTACTGTTGGGAAAAAAACAGCTCTCCTCAGACTAAGGACACTCAATCCTTTCATGTGCTTAGGATGTGGTTTGAGGGTGTCCCCCAAAGTTTCAAATACTGAGCCTGGTTCCAGTGTGGTGGTTTAAGGCAGTAGGATTTTTGTCAGAGGTGGGACCCAGTGAAAGATGCTTAGGTCATTGGCTGCTACCCTCTTTCTCCTGAGAGCCTGGTTAGTCCTGAGTGGGTGAATCCCTTGTTCCTCCCGACACTCTACCTCTTGTACCTACTCCCACCGTGACGGTATCAGCCATGTGTAATTTAGCTAGAAGTCCAGGCTCTCATCAGAGCCAAGAAAAGCCAGGCTCTTGCTCTCATAGGTCCAGAACTGTAAGCTAAAAAACTACTTATTTTCCTTGTAAAGTATCCAGACGTGAGTGTTATGCTATAGTAGAAAACAGACCCGTATACATCTTCAAGTACTAGGTAAAGAGACGGCAGGTAGTGATGTAAGGAAACGTACCAGTGCTCAGGTAGGAAAGCCATATTTTCTCTTCCTTCCTTCCT